CTCACACACACACACTCACACATGCACACACACTCACACACACACACTCACACATACACACTCACACACACACACTCACACACACACACAGGCTCACACACACACACACACTCACACACACTCTCACACACACAGGCTCATACACACACACATACACACACACTCACACACACATACACACACTCACACATACACACAAACACACATACACACACATGCGCGCGCACACATGCACACACACATACACACACTCTCTCACACACATACACACACTCACACACATATACACACACTCACACAGATATACACACACTCACTCACTCACACACACATGCACACACATACACATACACATACACATACACACATACACACACAGACACACACACACACACAGACATACACACACACTCTCTCACACACACACACACACAATCTCACACACAGACACACACACTCTCACACACACAGGCACACACACACACCCACACACACACACAGACATACACACACTCTCACACACATACACACACACTCTCACACACTCACACACACACAAACACATACACACATGCTGCTCCCTGTGTAGCCCTGGCAGCAGGAGCCTCCAGGGGAGGAGAGGACTGGGGGCTGTGAGCTCAGCCCCTGGCTGCTGCTGGGGCGGGAGGGGGAGGCTGCAAGGCTGGGAGCGAGGGCCTGGGACTGTCCCGAGGTCAGCAGGCTGGGGGCGGGGGCTGGGGCTGCCCGTGAGGCTGTGGGGGACACACGAGGCCCTGTTGGTGGTTCCCAGGGTTAGAGCGCAGGGAGGGCGGGTGTCCCCTCTGCCCTGAATAGCACATGGTCCCCCGTTTCTGAGGTCGGAGGCCCCCAGTCCAGCCTCAATGTGGGGGCTTCAACAGGAGGCCTCCAGCCCTAGCTGCCCCTCCTCCCCCGTCTCAGAGCCCGGGTGTCAGACTCATCAGCTGCCCCAGAAGCCGGAGGGAAGCCGGGGGGGTCACGGGGAACCCAGAAGGGGCAACAGAAAGTGGGTGCCAGCCACGCAGCTCACAGGAGAAGCCAGACCCACAGGCCGCAAAGGACCAGGACTCGAGGCGCATTGCTCTCCCCAACATGCACCCACACGCCCTGGCCCCAGGGGCCCCTCTCGCCGAGCTCCCCCTGTGACCTGCACCCTGAGGCAGGGGCCACAGTCAAGGCCAAGGAGCTGCCGCCCTCCAGGCCTCCCAGCCTCCTTCCTGGGCCTCAGGCCTGAAGCACATTCCAGGCTGAGCGTCAGCTCCAGGCTCTCGGCTTCCCAACTCGCACCCCACCCAGGAGGTCAGGGTGGGGGCAGCCCCGACTGGAACAGGGGCCTTGGGGTACTTTCCCCTAGAGGGGACACGGGAGGGTGTCTGAGGGGACACGGAAAGGTGTCTGTTGTCATGGGCGTGATACACAACCTCCAGGAGCAGAAGCTGGCTCCTCTTGCCACCCTCTTCGGGCTTCGGGGAGCACAGTGGCCCCACTGCCCCAGGTCCCTCCTGATGGGCCAGGCCCCACCCCAGCTCTCCCAAGCCCAAGGGGTTCGAGTGTCCCCTTGGGGAGAGGCGGGTCAGGAGCTGACCCGGGGGGCAGGACGACCAGGCCGTCACCACACACCCGGCAGGGGTGGCGCCCCCACAGGGATATCACCACCCTCCTCCTCTAACTGTCTTCCCTGGGCCGCAGGGAGGGTCCTACCCAGCTGCCTTCCTGGTCATCACCTCCCGAGTGGCCCTGTGCAGTGCCCCCTCCCGCTCTCGCACACATCCACACACACACATCCACACACACATGCTCACACGCACACGGCACACACGGCCCACACGGCACACACACATCCACACACACACATCCACACGCACACAGCACACACAGCCCACACACTCACCCAGGCGCACACCCGAGCCGACAGTGCCCTCTAGTGGCCGCTCCTGTCATTGCTCTAAAAGGTCCCCACGAGCCTCATGGGAAACCAGGCTGCACAAAGCTGAAGGCATTCTCTGCTTTCCCGGGAGGCATGTGACCTGGCCAAGGTCACACAGGGAGCGGGTGGGGGAGCCCTGCCCCAGACTCCTAAGCCAGTGCTCTCGCCCCCCCCTCACTTCCATTAGCCTGGGCCTTAGTACCAGCTCCCAGGGCCCTGCAAATAGGGGTC